GCAAGGTCCTAATCACGATGGTCGACAGAGACGTATGTTGATAGCATGTCTGTTAGGGTACGGTTTAAACATTCTGTAAGCCCGTTTGTCTAGGGGTGGTACGATGTCGTGAGCTTATGTTGGGTTGAGCAGGAGGAACGCAGTATATCGTCAACCACTTTCGAAAGGAACGTACGGCATCGGTCTGTCAGCAGTTAACGAGAGGCTCCATGCACTAAAATGAGATTGCGTAGTAGAAAATAAGCCACGTCTTTAGCGCAGCTTGTTTGTATAGCTCGTGTAACTGCATAGCGGGTCGCGTAATCTGTAGCAACCGCGACCAACTTGTTTCCAGTGGCGGGTCTTGGGAAGTTCCGAACCAACACAGAAGAATGACTCCGATGGGATGTAGATGGGCTGAAGATACCTGGAAGGGAGTCCCGACGGCTTTTTGCGGCGCTGGCAAATTTCGCAAGCGTTGACATAACGACGTACAGAGCGTGAAAGGCAATGCCAGTAGAAGCGGCGGTGCACGCGGTCATATGTGTAAGAAACACCAAGGTGGCCAGCGGTTGGCGCATCATGGAGCTCGCGTAGGACTGTAGAGTGCAGGTGCTTTGGTAAGACCAGAAGTAGGTCGTGACCATTGGGCGATAAGGTACGCCGGTATAAGGTGTGGTCCTTTAATGTAAACATGTGAACAGAAGCGTCTTGCGGTGAAGATTCGAGCTGTGATATTAGGCGGCTGATATCCGTATCGCGAAGCTGCTCGTCCCTGAGATGAAGCAGCTGGGAGGTGGAAAGGACGCAACTCACAGCATCAGTGCTCGTAGGATCACAGGGTAGCGTGGCAGACAATCCACATCCTTGTGCAGTTTTCTTCATTTATACAATGCGGTGTAAGACTACTCTTGGAGGCAGAGTGCCCAGTGGGCGAGACGACCTGTGGGATCTTCGAGGGAGGCGAGCCAGCAAAGAGCGTGTTGGTTGGTGAGAACTATAAATGGTTGGCCGTATAAGTAAGGGTGAAATTTCGCGACTGCCAACACCAGCGCTAGGCATTCGCGCTCTGTGATGGAATAATTACGCTTCCAGGGGGACAGCAGCCTGCTGGCATAAACCATCACGCGATGCTGCCCACGTTGTCGCTGAGTCGACACAGCGCTATTCCGTAACTACTGGCATAGGTGCAGACTTTGGTCGGTGCCGTAGGGTCGAAAAGAGCCAGAACAGGAGAGGAAGTGAGCAAAGTGGTGAGGTCGGAGAATGCTGCTGCTTGCGAGAGACCCCAGGTAAACGTCTCATTTGGTTTCAGTAAATCTGTTAGGAGCCTAGCAATTTCCACGAAGTTCTCAATGAACCGCCGAAAGTATGAGCAGAGCCCCACAAAGCTGCGGACATCTTTGGCGCTTTTTGGCACAGGAAAGTCCTTCACAGCTCGAACATTTTCTGAGTCAGGCTGTACGCCGTAAGCGTCAACAATATGTCCAAGTATTGTAATGCCGCGACGATTAAACCGGCACTTGTATGAATTCAGCTGAAGACCGGTGAGACGGAAAACATTGAGAAATTTGGACAGTCTCTCAAGGTGTGCTTCAAAAGTGGGAGCAAACACAATCACGACATTCAGATAACAAAGACACATAGACCACTTCAATCCATGAAGCAAGGAGTCCATCATTCGTTCAAGGGTGGCAGGGGCATTACATAAGCCGAAAGGAATGACTTTAAATTGAAAGCTACCGGGCGCCGTACTCCGAAGTATCGGCAAGTCTCGTTGCTGGCGTGATTTTGCGGAAAAGGTCACGTCTTGGGCCAACTTTGACGGGTTAAAAACGGGTCGGCTTGCCAAGGCTGGGTGCGTTACGTCATGCTCCCTCCTGTGTTTCTCCTTCCTCCATGCCTAGGACTGACTTACAAAGAAACGCACTTTCAAAGACCGCGAATCCATATTGTGTGCATTCACAGGTCATCGAGCATGCACCCTAAACAGCCGATGATCTTCTCATTAACAAGAAATATAGCACAGTTGACTATAGGCGTGCTCACATGAGGGGCAAGGAGCGGGGGTGGCGGTCACATTTCTCTAGTCACCTTAAATTGGGGTGACAAACCAACCCTCACCCGAGCCCCCTCAAGGCGAACCCTGCGCACGCCTATGTGGGTGACGTGCAATTTTGTTTTCGGTTAACAGCAGCTCTCCTAGCAAACTACGTAGCCACTATAACAACTTGACCTTGCCCAGCACGTGTCAGAGGTGGCGCCGGCTTTCCTGGTAGTGGGCCTCGTACCCAAAAGCTTTAATTATTTATATCTGAGAGATGTGACTATTGCAGCAGCTAAAATTAGGAAGCGCTCTTAACGTAAAAAAATCTGGAGTAGGTCACACATGAACCATTGACAAAAGCATTCATCGGCGATCCTTACAGCTCAAGCGTTCCACAAAAACGATCACCGCGATCTGGAGTCGCCTCATTTATCATAATGCGACCCAACTCCTGAGTACATACATCGAAGCAAAATAGTTCAGCAGGTGTCCTGGTGACCCAACAAGAAACATTGGCTAACATCGCTGATTAAGGCTTAAGTCTTAGGTGCATAATAAATTTAGAAAACTCACCCATTGGTGGCAGGATCCACATAAGAACGAATGAGTCAGAAAGTCAAACGGCATGAACTTGAAAGTTTTCCGTGTACTTGATTGTTAATGAGATTGGGACCTGTTACACCCGTTTAAGGTGATTAAACGGTGAAGATGTAAGGTCATCTTAGCTGGTTCAGATGTGGCGACATTAGAAAAAATTGGCTGTGGCTTAAAGCAGCGTAACGAGAGAAGCCGTTAATCTTATTGGAAAGACTTAGTTGAGTGTAGGCAATATTTGTGCTGCCGCAGCCTGTCTTTGGAAATGGCTGGCATGCTTTGTACGCCAATCTAAATCTGTCTATTGCCTTGGCTTTCTGTACGGTTACGCTTCTCAAGGCGTTCGAATCATTCTTCCTGCGTCTCCTTGAGACACTGCCTCCTCTTTGTTTTGTTCTGAGAAGGAAGCCTGGTTTTTTGCAGCCTCTTCGACACACTTTCTATATCTGCCCGCGAACCTCACCAAGGCGCCCTTTTATTCGCAATGTTCATAGACTGTCACGCCACCAAGGGTAATGCAGAGGCGTTCTCTTGAGGATGGTCAATAGGAAGACGCTCCCTTGTTAGACAGGGCAAGCCTCAGTGTTTATGCATTAGCAAGAAAGGAGCGCAAAGAGCATACGTTGTTCATCCCATATAAGGGAGTACTTTTCCATATAAGGATATACATGATATGTTACATATGATGTGGCCGTGCATTATAAGGCTGGATTTTAGTCCTTATATGGATGGACCAACCGCGATATATATAGCTGAATATCACCCCTTATATGAACCAGTTCCACCAGATATACACATCCATATATGGTACACGAAAGCCACATATGCTGGCATATATAGTTATGTGGGGCCACATGTAATTTATATAAGTGCCATATATGACAACCTCATAAGGGTCATACTCATATAGTGGTTTTGGGACGTAAAATGCAATATAATATTATTAACATTCATGGGAAGAAGGCGGATTATGAGCGAAGCCCTATTCGCAATTCTGTATGTCCATCTGTCTCTCTCTGTCACACAATTGAGTCACTCGGCTAAAGTTCAACCGCGTGCTGAACGCCCAGCTGTTTTAAACTAGTGGCTTCGTTCATATTTGTGAGCCGCTGGTGCTTGTTGATCAGAAAGCAAATCTTGCACGTAACAGAGGCGCAACATCAATACGTAAGTATTAGGGGGGAGGGTGTTCTTTCACTGAAAACACATATTCGTAACTTAATAAAATGCTTTGTTTGGTGCGTTGGTTCATTGTGGAATATATTTTAGCAAAAACAGACAACACAAACGAAGAAAGGACGACTATACGAGTGGCTACTACCAACTGGCAACAATCAGAAAACACGTGGTATATAAATCTCGTTACACCGGAGGCGTACACGTCTGGCAAGAACATTGAAAAAAGGTTATCTCAAATTGCGCTCGATCAACTGATCAGTCACCCGCCAACGTACCGACGTTTGGGTAACACAATCTGTGCCTTTGTTTGTCATGTAAAATGAGCCTCCAGAAATTCGCGTCATGGTGTCTCCGCTGCAGTCGAGAACCTTCATTAAGAGAACAGAGGCGTACAGTCGCACTCTGCGCAGTGCATGGGAAGGGGCGCGCGCAACGATCATTTGTGGGCCATCCGCCAGCCACCTCCTGCTTTGGTAAATGGAATGTGCTTGGCAATCTTGCTGTCGGTGTGCTCAGAACAGTGCCGCCTGTTACAATTTTGTGGCTCCAGCAACCGTTTTTTCTTCTGCCGATTCTTTTCCGTTAAGACAGTAAATGCGCGCCATACCTGCTGTAATCCTAATTGAAAACCACACAACTCAACGAAGTCAATTGATGTTTTGTACATAGATGTGCGCTCAATAAATATCATAATCTCTCATTGTGGAAGCCTCGCAAGAGTACGACCACAGCCCTCTTTTGAATTTCGGTTTTGTGGGGGAAATCAATGACATTTTATTATTCTCGAATAATTGCCGGTGGCTGTTTTTTGTAAATTTTGAGAGCGGAACGTTGTCTTTGCAGGAAGGGCTGCAATTTTCCCAATTCACCCGACCACCTATGTCTAATAATGAGAAAGTTAACTGAGTTTAAACAATCGTAATTGATGCCCCTACTGAACTCAAGATATCTACTACCTCAGAGCAAGCAATTCATTCACCTCAGAAAAAGCTATGCAAAAATAAGAAAAATGTTATTTCTCCTATTTTGGAGGATTTTCGCACATATTGCTTGAAGCAATTCATATATTTTCAACCACATTGCGATAGGTATTGCCGTGACTTATGCAGAAATGCTTAGGTCCGTTTTATGCGCTGAATTTTATTGGCGGTAATACTTCGGCCATAACAGTGGCTCATTTTGTTATTCATTAAATGTGCAGGATGCCATGGCTTTCAACAAGCTAAACGTCCTGCACTGGCGTATTGTGGATGAGCATTCTTTTCCGTTCGTCAGCCAAGCGTTTCCAGATCTCAGCTTGAAGGTATGTGCTGAGTGTATGCTCTTGTACGTGCCGCAATGTTGAGACTTCAGAAGGTGCTTAACAGTGAATATTTCTTTTCAATGTGTTCAGTTTTTCTCAGTAATAATGCGTGGCTATAAGGCATGCTGTTTCTTTGCATCGGTTGAATTGTGGTGCTTTAATTAATCAGACAGAGTATCCGTGGTATTACCGTAGCCAGCTTGTATGTAGCATCGAAGAGCTCGGCATGTTCTTGCCAATACAAAAAGAAACAGTCGCACTCGTGTGTGGTAGAAAAGCAGCAGCTGTATCAACAGTGGTTGGTTATAGTCGTTATATCTAAGGCACGGGGGAGCTCTTTTTGGAGAATATTTTTCAAATCTATTCATTCGGCTCGAGTTCAAAGGCGTACATTGCAGCGGACTGCTTCTCGCTGCCCCAGGTAACCACTGGTGACCACCTACCAGTTCTCAACTTCACATGACTAGAAAAACCTCGCCCTTTCCTAAATGTTTGAGTTTGAAAGTTCATTTTATCTATCTATCTATCTATCTATCTATCTATCTATCTATCTATCTATCTATCTATCTATCTATCTATCTATCTATCTATCTATCTATCTATCTATCTATCTATCTATCTATCTATCTATCTATCTATCTATCTATCTATCTATCTATCTATCTATCTATCTATCTATCTATCTATAAGTCTGTCTGTCTATCAGGCCGCCTCGTTTTCGACGCTTGCGTATTTGTCTCCTTCACTTGGCGTAAAGCAAAATTGAACAGCAGAGCATGAATTGTACAAGTCGTGACATGAACTGCATGAATTCCCTGTTGCGTACATGACGTCAGGAAATCCGTCCCACCAGTCACATTTGGCACACACTCGCATGTCGTGGCCCATCGTACACGTGCTCCCGGTGATCTAGGGTTCAAACCGACGAAGACTACGGAAATCTTAACGACACTGTGTGAATGAGCCCGCGTGGGAAATAATGTAGTGCCGGCGTCTGTTGCGTTGTTCACGTGTGAAATATCCCGATGGTAACAAGGTATAAACATCGCGTCCGTAATCGAACCCAGGCAGTTTGCATGGCATTCAAGTATTCTACGACAGAGTGACGCCACTACTAGGAAGTACTTCAGGAAGATACCCAGTACAAGTGCTAAGTAGGGACAATATCAATTGTGGTTGCATTGTTGACTATCTACTTGTAAAATTGTTCACTACCGCATAGTCTGAAGTGCTTCTACTACTTTCTTTTGGAATGTTCTATGCTTGGCACTCATATTATGTTTTGTTTCATTTCATTCCTTGTACGTTCAGGGGGCGTACAACCCAGAGTCATTGGTGTACCAGCCGTCAGACATCGATCGCGTCTTGAACGAGGCCAGGGACCGCGGGATTCGCATTGTGCCCGAGTTAAGCAACCCTGGCAAGTCTTATTCAAAAATTTTTATGCTTAACAAGTTTTTGGTGCTAGTGACTATTAGTGAGTAAATCAATCATAACTTGCTCAAGGTTTCGTAAAAACAATTCGTGGAAGGAGTTTCTGTCAGCGTCACCAACAGCTTTGATGTATGGCTTGCTTACAAAGGTATGGCGGCTGCGAACAGTGATATTAGAACGTCTCCAGCAAACACAAGCAGGCATGTCCCCACGATCTACGGCAGAAAGTTGGGTTAGGCCTCACTTTGAAATGTTCCTGATTCGATGGCGTTGCGCAGAGTGAAAGAATGTTCCTTCCAATAATTTTCATAGTTTCGAAGAGCAAAATGGAGATACGAATGACTCACCAGTGCATTGTGGCTCTTTGGTTATTTCGGTTGATGATTGCGATATGACATTGTGACCGCGTGAGTGTACATGTGCGAGCCTACCTCTGGTGAATAAAAAGTTACTAGTCTAGCCGTTTTCCTGTCTCCATCGCCGTTTCATGCTTTCATGCGTTTCGGCTGCCAGTTTTATCAGAAAGTGTTTTCTGCCGGCATCCACAGAAGCTTCAGTCACGTATTTGCTTCACAAAAATGACGTCAAAAATGCTCACAATCAAAAGACAGAAAATCTGTCAACGAAAGTCGAACCTATGACCTCAGGGTCCGCGACAACAGATATCCACTGCGCCATAGGCACATGCTTTGCATATCTTATGAAATACGTCTTTTGTCTATGTACCATCTTCCTCTCACAGCAGTCTTGATAAGGGCAGTAATGTCATAAACATTATCGTGGCATCGGCGATTGATTCCTTCGAAGCGTCGTTTTTAAGCGTCCGTCCTATTCGGTGTGTTTATAATTGGAGAAGTGCAATCATGGCCTCCCCGATGGCAAGCGGGCAGCGTTTTTTCAGTAGGGACGTTCCCAGGACGTAAGCTGGAAGCATTCGTGACGCAAGCGAGCGAAAAACTCACAACTGAAGCTGGTGGACGAGACCTTGTGATAACTTCGGGATGGTTTAAACAGTGTTTTAAATAAAGACTCGGCAAGACTAGCGACCACACTGGCGAAAGGTGTGGATAACATGCCCGCCATTTCCCCTCCGGTACAGGTGGTGATATGCACAATACCGGAGGTACCAGTGCGTGACGGCAGCCTGCAAAGAGCCGTTGTCAACGCTAACAAACAGATATGGCAGATGAGCCGAGAGAAAGGCTTTGAGGTAGTGGAAATAGAGAGGTGCGTAGGTGGGGAGGCTTTCAACGAGACATAATTCACTTCTATGTATGGCTAGGTCATAAGGTGGGCTGGCGACTTCCAGGATGCGCAGTAGCTATTTTGGGAGGAGCGCGCGGGCCCTTCGGGCTCCAACATAGCTAGTAACAAACAAAACAAGCAGGGGGTCTCTTTGAAAGGTGGCATAGGCATATAAAATTTCAAAGTGGCACCAATATCTAAGACACATAGAGTCCGGGACAGAAATCGATGTAGCTCCGAGGGGTGAGCCAATTAAGACGTACGGTATATTACCATGCAGGGTGGCGGCAATAGGTTGACGTGGGGAGAGATAGAAGAACAGCTAAAGGAGGAGAAGTTGATGGTATATTGGTTTGAATAAACGCATCTTAGGGACATGAAACAACCACCTAACAGTCTGGACTACGCATGGGAATATTGTAATAGAATAGAAGGCTGCAGAAAGGGGGGCGGTATTGGAACATTCACGTTCCATGAATGTCCCAATACCGCCACGTTCCATTTCACAAGTTTTTGTTATCGTTCCGAAACACCACACGATTCTCGGCGCAAACCGCGCCTGCAGGTTTCGAGAAGGTTCCGGACTGTAGTAGATCATTTCGATAAGATCACGCCCACTGTGCGAACGGTACAGATTGTTCTGGAACCTACACCACCGCCAGCGATAACGCTAGAACATTCGACGGCAAGGGTATAAATGCCGACGCGCTTCGCCGCTTGTCAGTTGTTGATCGAAGGCCGACGCTGCGTTCGCCGCTATCAGTCCGAGACTGCTATTTGTGCAAGACTGCTGCTGTAATTAGACTTTCCCTTTACCGGGCACAGGTTCGCCCAAATAAACAGTTAAATCCCAACACAAAGTTTTCTGTCTTTGGCCACGTCACGACCCCGTGACATCTGGTGGAGGTGCTGCTTCTTTCATGTACCGGACGCCCCCGTCAAGCCGTGAACCCAGCCCCCTTCGCGGAGAAGGCACCGACGCCAACCAAGAGCAGCGAACGAGCCGCCGACAGCAAGGTCTCCCACCGCAGTACGGCCTGCTACAAGACAAGGCGCGGAAGACCAAGACCATGACCACGACTGCAGCGACAATGACAACCGGAGCGTCCCAGCCCGCGATCGTCATTCATCAACCCAGGGAACCACCAACGTTCCATGGCTCATCGTTTGAAGACCCGGAAACCTGGCTAGAAACATACGACCGTGTGGCCGCCCTCAACCACTGGGACAACGAAGAAAAGCTCCGTCGTGTGTACTTCTACCTGGAAGACACCGCAAGGACCTGGCTAGAGAATCGGGAGTCCACGCTCTGAACGTGGGATGTCTTCTGCGGCGCATTTCTTCAAACGTTCGCAAGCGCCGCTCGCAAAGAGAGGGCCGCTGCTCTACTCGAGACCCGGGTTCAGCTACCAAACGAAAAGGTTGGAATTTTCACAGAGGAGATGACCCGCCTATTCCGTCACGCTGACCCAGACATGCCTGAGGAAAAGAAAGTTCGTTTCCTCATGCGAGGGGTCAAACAGGAGCTCTTCGCGGGACTAATGAGAAATCCACCGAACACCGTCCAAGAATTTGTATCCGAGGTGACCACCATCGAAAAAACGCTGGACATGCGCACCAGACAGTATAATCGTCGCCTGACTCCAGAATGCGCTGCTGCTCAAGCCAGTGACTCCGACGACCTGCGTGAAACGATCCGAGCGATCGTGCGGGAAGAGCTGCGCAAACTGTTGCCTTCGGCGCAGCCTCAACTGGATTCGATTGCCGACATTGTGCGAGAAGAAGTCCGGCAATCGCTTCGAATTCCCGAAACACCGCCGCCCGAGCCAGAAACTATGAGCTACGCCGCTGCAGTGCGCCACAACGCTCCTCCCTGTCCACGCCAAAACACCGCCCCGTCACACTTCCGTCGCCAGACGCCACCGCCGCCACCACACCAACCGACGTTCTACCGTTCCCCAGCGGGCCAGCGCAGTGCACCGAGAAAAACGGACGTTTGGCGTGCACCTGACAACCGCCCGCTCTGCTACCACTGCGGCGAGGCCGGGCACACATACCGCCGTTGCCAGTACCGACAGATGGGACTGCGTGGCTTCGTCGTCAATGCACCGCGTCCGCAGCCAGGAGGTCAGCCACGTGACATCGCCGACTACCTGGCAGGAACTCAATGGACACCACGAAGTCCTTCCCGTTCGCCGTCGCCAAGCCGCCGCATGTCACCGCCCCCCGGCAGTACTCTGGCCCAACGCGGGGCCGGTCTCCTAGCCCGTATCCGAGAAACTAAGGGCAGCAACCGATGGAGGTGCGGTTGCTGTGCGACGAGCTACCGAAGATCCTCCGACGCCGACGCCGACACGACGGAGCTTTTTGAACATAACCCCAACCAGGAAAAGCCCTGAAGGCAAAAGCTCACTTACCGCAGGTGGCCGGACGACGCAACATGGAAGCAGCGGAACAAGCCGACGCAGCCGTGACCCGACGCCACGCCCTAACTGTAATGCGAGACGGCGAACTAGCGACCTCGACGTTCTTATCGACGGCCACAGTGTGACTGCTCTCGTCGATACTGGAGCCGACTATTCTGTCATCAGTGGGTCGTTCGCTGCGAAGTTAAAGTACGTTAGGACAGCTTGGAAAGGCCCTGAAATCCGCACAGCCGGAGGTCATCTCGTAACGCCTGCAGGAATCTGCACAGCGACAGTCACCATTAACGGCCGTATTTATCCTACAGACTTCGTAGTCCTACAGCGTTGCTCGAGAGATGTCATCCTTGGCATGGACTTCTTATGCCTCCATGGTGCTGTCATCAACCTAAAAACAAGGTCGATAACGTTATCCACAGAAAAGCACTACCACCGCGCACGCCGTCAGGACACCATGCCTTGAATGTGCTGGAAGAACAAGTCACCATTCCGCCTCGCTCAAGCGTCATTATTTCAGTCGGCGCTCCTAAATCACATGACTTGGAAGGCGTCGTTGAAGGCAGTCAGCATCTGTTGGTCCCCCGAAATATTTGCGTCGCAAGAAGAATTGCAGAGCTGCGGGGAGGCAAAGCAACGGTTATGCTCACGAATTTCAGCAATGAGTACAAACATGTGAACAAAGAAACAACGGTCGCATAATCGGAGAAATTGTCGAAGCCACCAGTGCTTTCGCCCTCGCCGATTCTGCGGAACCTGCTCAGAGGAACCAAGCCCCTCCCATAGCTTTCGACGTCAATCCCAGACTTCCGAACGATAAGCAAGAGCAGCTCAAGGCCCTGCTCCTGCAATACGAAGATTGCTTTTCGTCGTCATCGAAAATTCGGCAGACCCCAATCAAGAAACATCGAATCATAACCGAAGAAAATGCCAGACCACCCCGTCAGAGTCCGTACAGGGTTTCGACGCGAGAACGTGAGGCAATGAAGAGACAAGTTGATGAAACGCTGCGAGATGACATTATCCAGCCGTCCAAGAGTCCATGGGCATCCCCCGTGGTGTTAGTGAAGAAAAAAGATGGGACCCTACGTTTCTGCGTCGATTATCGCCGCCTAACTAAATCACAAGAAAGGACGTGTATCATCTCCCACGAATAGACGACGCCCTTGATCGGCTCCATAACGCCAAGTACTTCTGGTCAATGGACCTCAAGACTGGCTATTGGCAAATCGAAGTCGACGAAAGAGACCGAGAGAAGACGGCGTTTATAACACCGGACGGCCTCTTCGAGTTTAAGGTGATGCCCTTCGGCCTTTGCTCAGCGCCTGCAACTTTTCAACGCGTTATGAATACAGTACTGGCAGGATTGAAGTGGCAGACTTGCGT